TCGTCGTCGTCGTCGTCGTCGTGGTCATCATCGTCTGCCTCTGCGCACGTGATCACGTTGCTCACACTGTCGTTCCGTTCTCCTGCTTCATCTTCTCTAGACCGCCGCCAAGAAGCCCGCTGCCAAGAAGGTCGCTTCGTCAACGGCCACCAAGGCCAAGAAGCCTGCTGCCAAGAAGGTAAGTGTCTCCACATCGCTCTAACAGACGTTGGGTCTGCTCGCTCATCGTGGTCGCCGCCCCACACTCCAGCGGTCCCTCGAAGGATCGTTGATCGGGACGCTAGCCAGCTGAGACGAAGCAGTGTAGCGCGTCATCGCTGCTCCTGGCTCTAGTGATGCCATCGCAGAGCCAGCCGAGCGATGGACGCGCCTCGCGACGCGATCGGTGTCGCATGATTGGCCGGCATTGCCGCCTCTTTCGCTCTCATGTGGCTTGCACACCGACGCTGATCGTACCACCCCCCCTCCGTCTGGCTTGGCTCGCTCGAACACTCTAGGCTGACGCTCCTGCTCGCAAACCCCTTGCTCCCGTCCAACCTAAGGTCGCGAAGCCCGCCGCCAAGAAGGCTGCCGCCAAGAAGGCATAAGCGCGCGCGCTCTCTCGACTGCTGTCTTGCTGTAGCTGTTCTTGCCCCACGATACCTTTCTTGCTCTGCGTGCGGCGCGAGCGACGGTCGCCACTCGTAGGCGCCGTCGTCGAGCGGCCGTCACCGTCATCCTGTACACTGTGCCACGGCTTTTCGCTCGTGGCTCGGCGCGCGGGATGTCTCCCTCTGCGCTGGCCCGTCTCGGCTCGTCTTCCCCGTTTGTACAACACTGGCTCCCTCTTGTTTTTTTTTGTCCGTCGCGTCTGCTGTTCTCGCCCACTCGATCAGGCCGTTGCTGCCGTCTCTGTCGTCGTGTCCTTTGCCGGGCACGGTGACTTGGTCGGCTCTCACCCGCTAGCGCTTTACGTGCGACCATGCCCGGATCTTGTCCCCCCTTGGCTTTTCTCCCCTTTTTTGTTTCATGTATTAATGGTATCTTCTTTCTCGACGCAAACGCGAGTTTCTGTGCGCGACAAAGCGGGAGGATGAACAGTTGATGAGGATGGATGAGCGATGAGCTCGGGGGTGTTCCAGGGGAGGAGGACGGCGCGCGTGTTGTGTTGTGGAATCGCGATATTTCGAGACGCGCGTGCCCGGGGCTCGACCAGGTCTGCTCACCAATCAGCGCCCTGAGCACGCCTCATGAGGACCGACTCACACGAGGATCACAGTGGCTGTCGCAGGTCTCTTTTAGCCAGCCACTCTAGTGCTGTCCGTGTTTGGATGAGGGAAAGTTCGAAGGATAGGGGGGTTTGAGGGTGAAGGTGGCGGAGGGTGTGGGCCAGTCGCAGCGCTAGGGCGTGCACTAATTGACTGGCGCCCGCACGTGACCGTGCAGCAAGGACCCTGCGCACGGATCCAACCCAAATTTTTCTATCTGTTGGTGCGCAGGATGTAACAAAGTCACCGGCTCGCCCATCGCCGACAATGCTGGATCCATGGCTTGCCCAAGTGGCTAACGGTATGCAAAGTGCAACAAGCCATGATCGCCACCAGCTTGGTGTTGATGATGGGTGGATGGGAATGGCTAGGCTAGCCAATATGTTCGTTTGTCGGCCTTGCTGCGATAAGTGCGGAGATGAGGGTTGATGTCGTCCTCTTCGTCAAAGGTCCATTGGTCGCTGTCGCAACCAGCGGTTAGTCAAGGCGAATGCAAGTGGCGAGTATGTTACAAGCATCTCAGCTTCCTCCGGCCGACATGATGGAATGGCGGTCACCCGGTCAGCGGCCGTCTGTTCCACATCGACCTGCGTACGGGGCACAGCATCGCCATCGGCCCGCCAAGACAGGCTCATCGAACGACGATCGTCAATCGTGCCAGCCTGAACAAAGGAATCACCATCACACCTTTACGACCTCCTGAACGCGCAATCGAAGTCTCGGACGACGAGTTTGACGATGCCGAACTGGATGCGATTATGGCATGGATACCGCTACCCACCCCGACCCGGCAAGTATCCGGTCATGGCTTAGATGTGGGCTTGGGGGTGCAGGGCGAAGTGTTGGCGGCGATCACCCGATCTGCACTCGAGCAAGCACGGGTGCTGGACCAAGTGGACGGAAAGTTCATCGTATGCATCACCATGGTTGAGCGACAGCAGGTGGTGTTTTGTGTCGACCAGCATGCTGCTGATGAGCGGTACCAACTCGAACGCTTTCTGGAAGAGTATGCCACGCGGTGTGCCGATCGAACCGCAGCACACATTATCGAAGCTGCAGTGACAATCGACGTCAGCACGAACCAGTACGAGTCGCTGAAGAGCACGTCGGTGCGGAGGGAGATGAGACGGCTCGGATGGATGATGCAGTTGGTGCCAAGAATGGCTCAGGTGGATATCAGCGGCGTGCCGTACGTGTTGAAGGACCGAACACTGACGCTCAAAGGCAGACCCAAGAACCAAGCCATGCTCAGGGACGTCTTTGCGAGTTGTCTCGAAGATATTACTCGACGCCAGACAGACCTTGAGCAGCACAGAAGGAACGGACAGGGCGAGCAGAAGATCGCGCAGACCAACGAGACAGGGGACTGGATCAGCTTCACAAGGCTGCTACCGGCAGCACTGCTCGAGGTGGTCAAGAGCAAGGCGTGTCGTAGCGCCATCATGTTCAACGATGCCGTGGGCAGGGAGGTGTGCGAGAGGATCGTGCGGCGACTGACCAAGTGCAAGTTTCCCTTCCAGTGCGCACATGGCAGACCCACGCTCGTCCCTAACTGCCAAATCGTAAGCCAACCTTCCAACGACAGCTAGCTGTGAAATGCGTAAAATTGAAGGTGTACAAGTACAAGTGGCGGG